TATTAGGGAGAACTGGCTCCAGTGATTACAAGGTTCAAAAAAGTTAACTAACATTTCTAAAAATAAGGAACTAATAAGTCATGCAATGAGGCCAATACAAGAAGCCATTGACTCTTAGTAAAATGTTCATTTCCGTGGAGAGTATGGTATGTCCTATGTGTAGGCAAGATTATCAATGCTGTTTCTTTGTAAATTTCAATACAGATCCCATTTTAATTGCAACTGTGAAATGAATTCTCATTCCAAGTCTGGTGCTTGAATGTCCATCAGGATGAGATATTACCGTTCTAAATATCCCTCAGGGAACCATTCAGACACTGAGGCCATGTACAGGATCTACGTGTAATCATGAGCTTAAACAAGGTAAAAGTTACCTCTCAAGCACTGAAGGACTCATAAAATAAATTCCATAAAATTGTGTGGTTGCTTTTGCTAAAAATTCACACTTTATTTAGTTGTTTATTTTTCATAGTACTTTTAAGGCCTCGTCAACATAGAAATACATAGGTTTTCTGAACTGAAATCACTGTTTCATTTAATATATGAATGAAAACCATTTGAAATATTAGAATAACAGTAATCATTACTTTATCCAATAAGTGCTGCTTTTACCTGTTAACATTTAAAATATTAAACCTGTTAAAATTTGTATAGGATCCTTTGTCACCTAGCACCACTGGTATTTACATATCTTTGACATTTTCAAAATTTCTAGGGAGAATTATAAAAACCATAACAAACTGTAACCATGTTTTTCAGACTTGATCTGTGAGAAAGGTGCAATGAAAACTAGACTGACCATTTTAAGAATGCTCATATTTCAGCTTGGTATTCATTTATTTATGGTTTCATTAATTAGCTAAACACAATGATTGGCAGCCTTTCCTGTGACTGCACTGTTCTCAACACTGAGAGTTCATCACGAACAAAACAGACAAGACCCTTGCCTTCATAGATTTAATTATAGTGCCAGAAAAGGAAAGACATAAGCAAAAAATAGATCAATGAAACACTTCTTGTGTCAAATGATGATTCTAAGTAAAAAGAGAAAGCAAAGGCAGGACACAGCACAGGAGGTGGATTGTAACCTTAATTAATAATGTGGCCGGGCTCAGTGGCTCAGCCTGTAATCCCAGCACTTTGGGAGGCCAAGGCGAGTGGATTGCCTGAGCCCGCCGGTTCGAGATCCACCTGGGCAACTTGGCGAAACTTCATTTCTACAACAAATCAAAAATTAGCCAGGCATAGTAGCACGTGCCTGTGGTTCAAGGCTGAGGCGGAAGGGTCACCGGAGCCCAGCAGGTCGAGGCTGCGGTGACCGGGAGTGTGCCACTGTACTCCAGTCTGAGCGACAGAAAAAACAAAAAAAGAAAGAAAAACCAAAAAGTAGAGAGAGTGCAATCCAGGCACAGGAACAACAAACTCCACAGGCTGCAGATATATGTGTTTCTGGCACGTTCTGAGAACTGACAGAGTGAGTGGGTTAGAAATTGACTGAGGAATGTGGAGAGGGAGTTCAAGTCCTACAGGAGGTGATGGGATATTTCTCCTAAATTAAATGAATAAACAACCTCTATCTCAGTTACGTTCCTGTTTTAACTGAATGAGGAGCAAAAATCTCTTGTGCTGCCTTAACAAAACAAAATATTAACCTCAGTGAGGAAACAAATGTGGTCAATAATCACTACAAAGATCGTCATATAAAGTCTTACACAGCTCAAACTGCGTGAATAATGTGTTGAAGAATTCTGGTGACTTCATTTAGTAGTTCATATGGTAGTCAAGTTGAACAGGTCAAATGTAAATGCCCCATCACTTGCAATTTCCATGGATATAAAATACCAAGAAGTCCTTGAGTCATCTGCTGACTTTGAGTACACTCATCTAACATTCCATGCTGTTCTCTGCCAAATTCTCCCACATCTGCACTTGTACTTCTCAGATATTTTAATTTCCCCTATAAATCACCACACCACTCGATCTGCGTCCCACTCATTCTCCTTTTTTCTATCAAGAAGAAATGTCATCACACCCAACAGCTTACTTCTGAGGCTAATTCAGGACCTTGATTCTTTCCTTACAGTTGCACATTTTGTGATTAACCTCACTATATGTTTGCTACTTAGTCTTCTGCAATGATTGTAAATATTACAGAACATTAGTCTCAAGAATTAGCATTTTTTCTTATGTCATGCCCTACTAGTTGGTTCACTGTAACACTTATGTCTCTATTATTTATATTCATCTGTCTATACCATTGTCCTTCATTTAGATCAACTTAGTATCTCCCATCTGAATTATGCAGATTTTTCAACAGAGCACCCAGTCTCAGAATACAAAATGGCAGTGTCTATAACGAAGAGTATGATAGAAATTTTAGGATTAGAAAGGGACTATTTATCTAATTCATCTATCTGATGCATGAGTGGAATCATTTAACATTTCTACCAGTTACTTTCCAGTTTTCCATTTTGCAACAGAACTCCTCTGGTGAAGAGAATTCACCAAATCTAAAAGTGTTAAGCCATCTGACAATTCAAATTTTAAGGCATTGATGATCAAATCTAGCAATGTATAAAAAAACTATATGCAATGACCAAGCAAATTTTTCAAAGTATGCAAGACTGGTTCAACATTCCACAATCAGTGTGATCCATTATATCAACAGAATAAAGAAGAAAAAACATATTAGCTTATCAATGGAACCAGAAAAGCATTTGACAAAACCAGCACTCATTCATGAGTTTTAAAAAAAACTTTCAGCAAATTTGAAGTAGAGGACAAATACCAAATTAAAACAGAGCATTTACAAAAATCCTACAACTTATGAGGGGGGATCCCAGAAAAACCAGAATTACCTTTTGGAGGGTTTATTATCTTTTGTAGTGCAGGAAAAGCCTGCACTTTGTAGTATAGACATTCCCCTTCGCCAAGTGTTCTGGGAACCCACTGGCATCAGTGTACCACCTAGCATTGTTGTAAAAGGATGCAGTTGGCTTCAGTGATTTTTTTTTTTTTTGAGTTGGAGTCTCACTCGGTCACCCAGACTGGAGTGCCGTGGCCGCTCCCAGCCACCGCAGCCTCGACCTGCTGAGCTCCGGCAATCCTTCCACCTCAGCTTTCTGAGTAGCCAGAATCACAGGCATGCGCTACCACACCCAGCTGATTTTTTTATTTATTGTAGAGATGAGGTCTCGCTGCCCAGGCGGATCTCAAACCCACGGGTTCAGGCAATCCACTCACCTCAGCCTCCCAAAGGCACGGGATTACAGGCTGAGCCACCGAGCCCGGCTCAGTGATTTTTTTTTAACAACATGTTTGTCCGTTTTATGATGGGTGATTTACTAGTTTTTGACCAAAACTGTTTCCAGCAGTTTTTGACCAAAACTGGCATGACATGACTCCCATGCTCCACCTTCCCTATTCACTTGATCCTACCCTGAGCAACTTTTTGTTTTCCTGGATGAAAAAAGTCCTCAAAGGGAAATGTTTGGCAGATGTGGAAAAGGTGAAACAAAAATAGCAGAAGCACTAAAAGGCATCAAAATTGATGAGTTCAAAAACTTCCAAGCCATGGAAATCATCTTGATAGGTGTATTGCATCAGGTGGAGAGTACTTTAAAGGTGAATGAAGTTTAATCACATAAGAATAAATATACAATGTTTTAATAAATAAATTTGGCATTTGGGGTCCCCCATATACTTTACAAATCTTAAATCATACTTACAGGTGAAAAATTGAATGTTTTCTCTTAAGATTGAGTGGGGGAAAGGATGTCTGATCTCACTATCCTTTCAGTATACACTGGAAAATTCTAACTAGCACAATAAGGCTAGGTAAAGAAGTAAAGGGATGTGTAATGACTCAGAATAACACATATGTCAGTTCTCCTCAAATTGATCTATAGGTTTAATTTAACTCCTACTAAAATCCCAGCAAGGTGTCTATAGATATAAACAGGCTTACTTTAAAATTTCTTTAGAAAGACACAGGGTCTAGAGCTAAAACAATTTTGAACAAGAATACAGTGGGAGCAACCATTCTTACTTGATGTAAAGATCTACCATTAGAGCCACAGTAACCAAGCAAGTATGATATTGGCAGAGGAAAGACACAGAGATAAACAGAACAGAATAGAAAATGAAGGAATCAACCCACACAAATACGCCCAACTGACTTTGGCAAGGGAGCAAAAGCAATTCAGCAGAAGAATAGCCTTCAACAAATTGCAATTGAGCAATGGGCCAATAATAAGTACAAAAAGAAAGAGGAAAAGGGAAGGAGGTGAAGGGAGGGAGGAAGAGGGGAGGAAGAAGACAAAGGAATAAAGAACCTTGACCTAAACCACACAAAAAAGTATACAAAAAATAACTCAAAATTGATCATCAACTTAAATATAAAATGTATAACTATGAAACCTTTACAGGAAAAATAGAACATAACCTATAGAAACTATGACTAGGCAGAGTCTTGAGTGTTCACACCAAAATCATGATGCATAAAAAGAAATATTTAGACCAGACGTGGTGGCTCACACCTGTAATCCCAGCACTTTGGGAGGCTGAGGTGAGAGGATTGCCTGAGCCCAAGGGTTTAAGTCCAGCCTGGGCAACTTGGTGAGACCTCATTGCTAAAATAAACAAACAAACAAACAAACAAATAATTAAAATAGCTAACTAGGTATGTGCCACACCTGTGACTCCAACTACTTGGAAGGCTGAGGAGGAAGGATCGCCTGAGCCCAGCAAGTTGAGACTGTGGTGGCCATGAGCAAGCCACTGCACCACATCCTGGGCAACAGAGTGAGACTCCAACTGAAAAAAAAAGAAAGAAAGAAATCATAATAAATTGGATCACAACAAAATTACACATTTTGATTCGCTAAGTTGACAAAGACTCATTTGTAATCATAATCGGGATCTGCAAGAGCTATGAAGATGCCACTAAAATCACAGTGAAGTCTAACAACAGAGAGGTTGCTAAGCGGAATATCTATTTGATGGACACATCGGGAAAAGTGGTGATTGCTACTCTGTGGGGGGAAGATGCTGATAGGTTTGATAGTTCTAGACAACCCGTGATGGCTACCAAAGGAGACAGAGTTTCTGATTTTGGTGGACGGAGCCTCTCTGTACTGTCTTCAAGCACTGTCATTGTGAATCCTGACATCCCAGAGGCCTATAAGCTTCGTGGACGGTTTCACTCAGAAGGACAAGCCTTGGATGGTGTTTCCATCTCTGATCTAAAGAGTGGAGGAGTAACAGGTAGCAACACCAACTGGAAAACTTTATATGAGGTTAAATCAGAGAATCTGGGCCAAGAGGACAAGCCGGACTATTTTAACGCTGTGGCAACAGTGGTGTATCTTCGCAAAGAGAACTCTATGTACAGGCCTGCCCGACTCAGGACTGCAATAAGAAAGTAATTGATCAGCAGAATGGATTATACCGCTGTGAGAAGCGCCGTGAATTTCCCGATTTCAAGTACCGCATGATCCTGTCAGTAAATATTGCAGATTTTCAAGAGAATCAGTGGGTGACTTGTTTCCAGGAGTCTGCCGAAGCTATCCTCAGACAAAACACTGCTTATCTTGGGGAACTAAAAGAGAAGAATGAACAAGCATTTGAGGAAGTTTTCCAGAATGCCAACTTTCGATCCTCTGTATTCAGAGTCAGAGTCAAGCTAGAGACCCACAACGACGAGTCTCGAATTAAGGCCACTGTGATGGACGCGAAGCCCATGGACTACAGAGAATATGGCAGAAGGCTGATCATGAACATCAGGAGAAACGCACTAATGTGAGGAGAGCAGCACTAATTGGATAGAAGTTTGCAGATAAAGAATCACAAAATGGAATCGATTTCTCCTCACCCCTGTGTGACAATCCCACATTAGCTACACAGTGCAGAGAGCCTCTTTAGGGTGGACTAAGCAATTTCCTGTCTTATATGCATCTTGGAACCCATTGAGAGGCAAAGGGAAATGTGCTCAGATGGCTGTGGTGTAAACTGTCAGCCTATGGGGTCCGCCAGTAGGTAGTATAGAACCAGTCACTCCCTCTGTCTTCAGGCCTTTGTCAGTTTTTATTAAGATTTCATTATTATCAAGCAGGAATTATGTCACAAATAGTTGACCCTAACTGCAGACAGTAGAGTAAATTATGTAAGTAGGGTTTTGCTTCTCCAGTGGTGACACCTTCACAACTTGGTTTGCTTCTCCAAGGGAGAGCTAAGTGGTTGTGGGACACCTGAGTATTTTAGTAAATGTGTCTTCCTAGAATTGAAAGGCACTCTCTTTCTAGAGGTGCTACATATTTGTTAATGCTTGGAATGGCAATGGGGTAGAATTATTAATCAAAGGCATATCTTTTATATCTGAAGAATATCCTTCCTTCAGGGTTTAATAGACTAAGTCAGATGGGCCTGATATTAATCAAAATTGTCTCTTCTGAGGACGGCTGATAAGCACTGACTTGCTGTCCCCCAGGGAAATCCAGGCAACTACAAAGCATTGCTTTAGTTTTCACTTCGATTAATGTTGCATTTTGGTTGGTGAATGCAGTTTTTCTACCTGTGCAAAATTCTTGGGTTTGTATGTTTCAGTTCTTGACTTTAGCTATATTAAATAGAAAGGATTTTGAAGGGAGAACCCCTTTGTTTTCCTTGCTTTGTTTTAATAAACAGTATATTATTTGCTTGTGGAAAAAAAAACCAAATATATAATTAGAAAATGAGAAAAAGGCATGAAGATAAATCTCACTGAAAAGGTTATGCAGATGACAAACAAATGCATAAAAAGATATCCAACCTCATTAGCAGCAGGAAAATATAAAATAAAACTGCAAGGCTGGGCTCACTGGCTCAGCCTGTAATCCCACGCTTTGGAAGGCCGAGGTGAGTGGATTTCCTGAGCCCGCGGGTTCGAGACCCGCCTGGGCAACTTGGCAACTTGGCGAGACCTCATCTCTACAATAAATTTAAAAATTAGCTGGGCGTGGTAGCGCGCACCTGTAATTCCGGCTACTTGGAAGACTGAGGCGGAAGGATCGCCGGAGCCCAGCAGGTCGAGGCTGTGGTGGCCAGGAGCGGCCACTGCACTCCAATCTGGGCAACAGAGTGAGACTCCAACTCAAAAATAGTCACCACCCCAAATTCTGTAGAGGCAGTGGGGAAACTGGACTACTCATGCATTGCTGGTGAGAATTTAAAGTGGTACAGTCACTCAGGAAAACGGCTTGGAAGTTTCTTATAAAATTAAACATGCACTTACCGTGTGACCCAGTCTCAGGTGTTTGACTCAGAGAATTAAAAACATATTCACACAAAAGTTTGTGCATAAAAGTTCACAGTTTTATTCACAATAGCCCAAACTAAAAACAACCTAACTGTCCTTCAGTGGGGACATAGTTAAACTGTGGTGCATCCATGCCATGGAATACTACTCGACAATAAAAAGGAACAAAGTATTGGTACATACAATAACTCAAGTGGATGTCAGGGGAATTCTGCTAAATAAGCTAATATCAACATATTACTTAACTGTTTGAATCAATTTGCATAGCATTTAAAAAATGATACATTAATAGAGATGGGAAGCGGATTAGTGGTTGCCAGCAGTTGGGGAGGGAAGAGGGAGGGAGGCGGATGCAGGATGGTTCTCGTGTCGAGTGTGTCCTTGTGTGCTCTGTGTCTTGTCTTGTGGTCACACAAATCTGCACACTTGGTAAAATTGCAAAGAACTACACATACCCACACACAAATGCACAAAATACTTTCAGGTTTACAAAGAAATAATTATTTGCAAAAAATAATCCCCGCATGTGAGCATGTGGCTACCCTCTCTTTACTACCCTCTCTTTACTATGTATGTATGCAGTTGTGTGTGTGTTTGTGTGTTTGAAGAACATATCAGCATAATTTGCAGGCATAATTAACCTTTTACCTGTTAAATCTTCAGTGTGCATTTCTAAAAATGAAAACTTTCTACTTCATAGCCACAATCTGATTATCAAAACAAGGAAGTTAATATTGGTGTAATCTCATTGTTTACTCTATATATTAGGTCCAGGTTTGGCCATTATCTCATCATGCTCCCATCTTATCTGTGGCAGGATCCAGTCCAGGATCATATTTTCATTTAGTTGTACATCTTCTTCCTCTCCTATAATCTGGGACAGCTCCTCCATCTTTATGTTTAACAATCTGAATAACTTCTAACATTTTTTGATGCTATTGCACGTCCATTTCTTTCAAGGTTCAGTGCGTCAGGGCTTATGTCTGTGCAAAGTTTCAGTTAAAGTTTGGGTTTTGTTTTTTTCTGAAAGGACACCTGGGGGGACAGCTGTAGAAAAGTTCCATGAAGTATTGATCACAAGCCAGTTGAGATGAATGAATAAGACCAAAAAGAAGCCGGGCTCGGTGGCTCAGTCTGTAATCCCGCGCCTTTGGGAGGCTGAGGTGAGTGGATTGCCTGAGCCCACGGGTTCGAGACCCGCCTGGGCAGCGAGACCTCATCTCTACAATAAATCAAAAAATCAGCCAGGTGTGGTAGCGCACGCCTGTAGTTCCAGCTACTTGGAAGGCTGAGGTGGAAGGATCGCCAAAGCCCAGCGGGTTGAGGCTGCGGTGGCCGGGAGCAGCCACTGCACTCCAGTCTGGGCGACAGAGTGAGACCCGACTCAAAAAAAAAAAAAAAAAAGACCAAAAAGGAGGGTAGATTTTGATCATCCTAAAATATTTCCATAGTTCACATACAGAAATAACTGTTTAGGCAGTCTAAGGCTGGTGTTCATTTGAAAGGCAGTCAGATTTGTTTTCTGAATTCAAGATATGCATTTCTGACTTTGCATGAAACTACTCATTTGTTATGACTAATATATTAAAAACTGTAGTGTGTACCTTTTCCATCATAGTTTATACTTTTTATAATAAGAATTTCATTTCTTATTATAAAAAATTATAAAAAATTCTGAACGCTAACAAGTGCAGAAGAGTTGTTTTGAAGAATGTTTTCGATTTGGTTCAATGGATATTTCCTTCTTATTAGATTTGGGTTATGGATTTTTGGAGGAGACACCACAGAAGTGATGTGTTTCTCTCAGTGCACTGTGTCTGAAGATATGTGAGTTCTGCCTGTCACGTTAATGTGCTCATGTTCTTACTGGATGATGGTGGTGTTTGTTATAAAGCTACTATTTTGCCTTCGGTAACTTATAAATGTTTGGGGAATAAGATATTTTGAGAGTATATAAATATCCTTTTTTCTGCCTACTTCTGCATAGTTTTAACAGCAATTGGTGATTCTTGCCTAAAACAATTGCTATTAAGGTAGTTACCAAATGTGATATTTTAATTCCATTATCCCTCTACCTTTATTAGTTATATTCCTACCATATGAAGGAACTTTCTCTTTTCTTCCATTTATTTATTTGTCTATATCAGTATGCATTTGTGGATTCTTATTCTATTTCATGATATAACCTATTGCCATCATTTATTTTGTTGCTCAAAGTGCCCCAGACTTGGCCTCTGGGACCCTGGCATCACCTGGGCATCTGCTAACTTGCTAGAGTTAGAGTCAAGATTAGTGTTAGATCTGGTCACACAGTGACTTGAGGTTCATTTTTTTGCTTTTCTTGCCCCATTACTAGCATCAGCCACATCTCCAAGAACCTCTAGAAACTTTTATTTATGATTGGTATTTACAAAGCAGAATTGTGTGTGCTGGGTGTGCTCATTGGTACTGGAAATATAAGTCTGTATAGGGCTGAGATAGAAATGTGTATAAATAGACACAGATAGATATAAATACATATATTGGAATACATATTTGTATATCTATGCCATATTGTCTATTCATTTTTCTCTCTATTCTTCTAATTCTATGTGTGCATGTTAAAAACCATGAGTGTACCCTAATGTCTCTTATCCAAATGCAACACCAGAGGCTTCTTCTAAGTCTTTTCCCACTCACATTATTCCCAATACCACAACTTATTTATTTATTTTCTCATTAAAAGCCACATAAAGTAGTTGTATAATTGCTAAGCCACGCCTCTGTGTCTACAGTCAAAACAGTATGTTTAAAAACAGTATATTCCAGAGTCACTCAGACACTTATGTTATTATTTTGAAAAGCATCAAGTTCATTGACTTTATTCTGCTTATATTTCTTTTTTTTTCTTCTTCCAAACTTATTGATTTTGTATATTTATTTACTTTTAGACTGTGAAACATTAAGACTGTTCTAAAGTCAGCTACAAAAAGAAATACTCAGGGAAGATCACTACCCCATCCTGCCACTCCCGACCCCTATAGATACCCAACCTTGTAGCTCCTGGCTTAGAAAACCTGAGCTAACAGAGGGAGAGCTCAACTGAGGTGACCAAAACAAGCTCTGTGGCCAACACCCTCTGCTAAGTCCAGTTTCCAGCCACTCACCCTGAACACAACTGAAGGACTGTCCCATGAGAAACCAACAGAATAATCACTCAGAATAATGAATAACAATGAATACTTCTTGACCTAAGGTGGGGGGACTGTTTTACTTTCATTAAGATATGTTTCTAGACGGGCTCGGTGGCTCAGCCTGTAATCCCACACCTTGGGAGACTGAGGTGAGTGGATTGCCTGAGCCTGCAGGTTCGGTGAGGTGAGTAGATTGCCTGAGCCTGCCTGTGCAACTTGGCGAGACCTCACCTCTACAATAAATCAAAAAATTCACCGGATGTGGTAGCGCGCGGCTGTAGTTCCAGCTACTTGGAAGGCTGAGGCGGAAGGATCTCTGGAGCCCAGCAGGTCGAGGTTGCAGTGGCGGGGAGCGTGCCACTGCACTCCAATCTGGGCGACACAGTGAGACTCCAACTCAAAAAAAAAAGATATGTTTCTGCATGAACATTTTCTATTTTATCACTGAACAAATTTCTTCTCGATTCCTTGTTTGTATAGCATGTGTTTTTCTCCT